AGGTGTCAAGCCATTTCTGTTCGTAATGAGAGAGAAATGCAATAGCTAAATTTGGACCTAGTGGAGAGCCCATCGCAACACCATCTATTTGTTCATGCAAGGTGTTGTTGAACAGGAAATGTGAATTTTTAGTGGTAAGATCCAGCATGGTCTTAATTTGATTCTCAGAAAAGCCATTTAGAGGAATGTAATTACTTATAGTATTATTACTTATGTTATTATTTATATATACATAATTTGTGATATAATTTTTTTTAGAATTATCATTGGTATAATTATTATTATTAACTATCATCATTATTATTATTATTATTGTTGTTATTGTAACTCATCAGTATTCAAATTTGTGGACTGACAGGTATTTAGTAGTTGAAAGATCATTCCTGGCTGCCAGGTATCTAGTCATTGTGTTAAAAGTTAAATTTGATTGCCAACTTGGGAAAAGCCCATGAGAAAGAAGGGAAATGAAGACAATGTTTTCTACCTGTTTTAGTGATACAGAAATCTTTAAAAAATTATCTTTTATTTAGTTTCCAAGCTGCAATTGTGGCAACACATGGTCCAAAACATCATTAATTTTACCTTGTTCTATTTGCTTCATGTCTTTGTTCTGTATACTACTTGTAGGTGATGTCTCCTCTAAAAAGATTATCATGGTAAAATATAGCATTTAGGTTAAAATGATTGGCAGTGTAATATCCTTTGCTGGCCAATTATGATGTTGACAAAATGTAACAGCCAACCAATACTTTCTTTAGCCAGTTTCTACAAGGAGAGCAAATGAAGACTTTTTTTTCAATAACATGCTTTAGTTTTAACTTTTATGAAGATTAATCCTGAGAGAGATAAAGCTGTGGAACTAAACAGCAAAATAGCTGTGTAGTAGAGAGGATGGTCATTTTATCTGTATAGGTACACACACATACACACAGTTTTCCAGTTATTTTTCATTATAAAGATTTTGTTCTTTTATTACCATTTGTCCAGACTCTTTACACTTAAACTCAATCAAGTTGTATATTACAGAACACATCCCTTATTTCTTGATCAAATCTGCTATTATTTGTGAGTTTACTTATCTGATACTTGTCAAGAAATTGACTTCACCTGAAAATACCACACCTTCATAAAATATCTTCAGTGAAGGCTAAGCCTCTAAGTTTAGCCAACACATTCATGCACACTGCATTATTTAAAACTTATAGTAAAGAAATATGTAATAACATGTACACTAGCAAATCAAGTACTAGAATCTTAAAATACACTGTGAGGAGTGGCTTGTTGAGATGAATTATTGGAGAGAATGAAAATGAAAGGGACAGATAAGGATGTAAATGATAAAATTAAGGAGGTTACAGTTACAGGTAATTCTTTGACAAGGCATGTGGATAGGACAGTCTGTGGGGTAATCGGGGAGAAGAAAAATTAGATTAGTGCTACCCAGGAGCATGGGTAGAGGATATAACCGATAGAGCAAGAGGTATAATTAAGGGGGCTAACTGTGATGCAGTTTTTGTTGTGCACATAGGGCTAATGATGTAGGGAAAGGTAGATCAGAAGAACTAATTAATAAGTACATGGGGTTGATAAAGGCATTTAAAAAAAAGGGACATAACTCAATTGTTTCCAGGATACTGTTGAGAATTAATTGTGGGGATGAAATTATAAGTAGGTTACTAAGACTGAATGCTAGGCTTAGGTTAATATGTAAGGATGAGCAGATTGGCTGGTTGGATTAGTGGGATCGGTTTCATGGGAAAAGGGAGATTTTCGGAATGGAGGTTTACATTTAAATAGGGTGGGGGCTGGCTTGTTTGCAAGTGCTACTAACTAGGACTAAACAGTGGTGAGGGCCACGATAAACTAAATGCAAAAAATAAGATGTAGAAAAAGTTTAGCGTAGGAAATGAGTATAAAAGTAGTTCTACGGGTAGGCTTAGTTGTTAATATTGTAATGCTATAAGTATAAGAAATAAAATAGATGATCCTTTAGAGCACTGTAGGAATGGAGGATTTTTGATATAATGGGAATAACTGAAACATGGTTAAATGTAGATGATTTTGATGACAGAAATTTCTTTTAAATATAGGATTATAGGTTATTTAATATGGATAGAGTACTAAAGAGAGGAGAAGGAGTGGTTTTATATGTAAAATGGGAGTTACTTCCTGTTGAAGGTGAGGATATCAAAGATAATAGCAAGGAGATTGAATCCATTTGGGTTTCTATTATTGGATATCAAGGGAAAAATGTTTTAGCGGGAACTTGTTACCACCCATCAGATGATACTGATGAAATTAGTGAAAAACTTTACAGTGAAATAAACATTTCAGCTGTTTAGGAGGTCATAATTATGGGTGATTTTAATTTCAGGTGTGTACATTAGGAAATGATGTCAAACTATGAGGAAGAAAGATTTTTGGAAACCATTCAGAATGTTTTTCTTCATAAATTGGTTAGGGAATCTACTAGGAACAATGCTGTTTTAGATTTATTTAAACTTCTAATATTTATAAATGGTTAGGAAGGTGGAGAATAGAGAACTTAGGGATGCAAGTGATCATTGTTTAATTAGTTTTATGTTTTGCAGCAAATGGAGATCAGGAATAATGATATTTTGGAAACAAATTTCAAAAAAAGCAAATTTTGAAGGGGTGTGAAATGAATTACCTATTATGAATTGGGCAGCTGAGTTATTTGGAGACACTGATCAAATGTGGAAAATTTTGAAAGTTAAATGCAGACAATTTGGATGAAAGATATTTCTTTTATATACAAGGTAAAACAATATTTAATAGGGTACTTAAAAGAAAGGAGCTTTATATGTAAAATGTGAGTAACATCCTCATTAAGTTGAAGATATCAAAGATAACAGCAAGGAAGTTAAATCTATTTGGGTTTCTGCTAGTGGATATAAGGGGATAAGGCTTTCAGTTGGAATTTGCTACAGACTACCAGATGAAACTGAGAAGCTGTACAGTGAGATTAAGATTTCAGCCATACTTATGGGGAATTTAATTTAAGGCATGTAGTTTTGGAAATGTTAGAATCAAACTATTTGGGAGGTGGGTTTTTATAAACCATTCAGAATGGTTTTCTTCAGAAATTGGTCAGAGAACCTACTATGGACAATGTTATTTTAGATTTAATGTTAATTTCCAATATATAAACAGTTAAGAAGGTGGAGAATAGGGAACTTATGGGTGCAAGTGATCATTGTTCAATTGGGTTTGATGTTTTACTTCATATGGGGAACAGGAATAATGAGATTTTGGTTACAAATTTCAAAAGAGAAAATTTGGATGGGAGGATGAAAAGAATTATATGATGTGATTTGGGCAACTAAATGGACATTTTTTTTTAATATTCAAGATAAATGTATTCCTTATAGAAAAAAGGATGGCTGCAAGTAGAAAACTAGGTTGGCTCACAAAGGGTATAAGGGATAGAATTAATAAAAAGTATCACAAATTTAAGTTGACTGGTTTCATGGGAGATTTGGAAAGTTATAGAATAGCAAGAAAGTTGGTCAAAGGTTCAAACAGGAAATAAAGACATCAAAAAGAATATGTGAAAAATGGTTGGCTGAAAATTTAAAAAATAATCATAAGGATTTCTTTAAATACATTAAGGGTAAGCAAAATTTTAGAATTGGGGTAGGATGTTTGAGGTATGATAAAGGAAGGCTCTTACCTGAGGGCTATGAGATGGCTTGGTTATTAAATTCTGCTTTTTTCTTCAGTTTTTGTTAATGAAAATTTAAGCAATGTTCTTTATTTTGAACAGTTGTTAGATGGAAACAAGATCGAACAAGATGATCACATTAATTCTGAGCTCCTTGAGGAAAAATGGGAAATTTAAAGAATGATAAGGCTCCTGGGCCAGATAATATATTCCCAAGTGTTTTGAAGGAGGTTAAGGATTGAATATTTGATCCACTTGCTGCTATTTTTTGTAAGTCCTTGAATAGCCGGCAGGTGGAAGTTGAATAATGTTATTCTTCTCTTCAAAGGAGGTGATCAAAATTGTCCTAGTAATTATATTACATCAGT